TTTTTTTTTTTTTTTGGCCTATATGTTCTCATTTATGCTATCAACAAGATGATGTGTCTTACATCCACATGACATGACATGCTTTGTTTGCTATTTCATTTGTTGCTTTTGATTCTTGATTTTATTGGTATAATGATGATTTACGGGAGATGCAATTCGTATGGAAAATTTAGAAGTTACTAGATTGGATGCTGCTATATGTTTCATTGCTCTTTGGCTAAATGGAAAATTGATACATAATTTGGACCATAATATGTTGCAAATGGAGGAAAATCATTGATCTTTGTGCTACCGAGTCTAGGATGGCAGGAAATGAAAGTGAAATCAATGAAAATTTTTACTTCCACATTTTAGTGTGCTACAAAAAAGGTACCAACTTCAACATTGAATATACATTGTAAAAGAAGAACAATTTTTTGTTCATTTGAAATCAATCAATTACCCCTGTTACTATATTGGTAAGCACCTTAAACTCTCTTTATGATGTTTAAGTTTGCATCACTTATTTTTTTCTTTCGAAATTTAAATCTCGATCTACTTTGTGAACTCAGTGGTCTTTTTCTTCACCGAAATTTAATATCAGTTCAAACTTAGAACATTTTACGATGGGGGGCCTCACAATCCTAACGTTGGTTGTGCTTTTGTTTACTTGAATTAACATTTTTCCTGCCTTACATATTCAAAACTGTAATTTGTGATTGAGTGATTTTTCCATTTGAAAGTTTAGGTGTATATGGCGATTGTGGTGGCGCGTGGGTGGATGAAGAGTAAGCTCACATTTAAAATATCATATATTTTAAGGACTAGAATCATCAAGGAAGTATGCAACATTATTACATGACAGTTATCAAGTGAATCCAGCCAGCGAACTTGCTCGAGCAAGATTAACTGCTGAGGAAGAATGGTTGCGTTTGGGCCGTAATCTTGGTATAGCAGCACAAGTATTTCGACTCGGTGGTATATATGGCCCCGGTAGAAGGTTAAGTATGATTATTTAGCTATTGTCTTGACATTTACAATTACGTTTGTAATTATATGTGTCGAATTTATTTTTACTTTGTTTTTTAACATCTGTGTTTAATAGTGCTGTGGATACCATCCTCAAGCAGTTGCCACTCTCGAGTGGACAGAAAATGAGACATTCAAAACGTTTCACGTCTCGTGTTCATGTCGCTGATATATGCCAAGCACTTCATGCAAGTATTTTGAAGCCTGCTGCTGGGTAAGTTTATCTTTAATAATTAAAAATTGTACTCGTATGATATATGTGATTATATTTCGTACGCTATTATTAATGATTAATGTCATGCATAGTTACTAGAAATTCTAAATATCTTTAAATTTAAAATTGCGAACTTCTATTCGCAAAAAAAAGTAAAAAATTGCGAACTTCTTAGCATGTTCACTTTTTACAAATTCCAATTTTCACCTACCGAAGCGGTATAATATAATTTAAAACAACTCCAATTGGTTATATTTTTAATTATAAGTGAAAAATCCTAGGAATATTGTTGTAATTATTCCATACTCAATGTAATGCCGATATTTTCATATTTATTATCCATGCTCCCTCAGCCGGTGTAAAAGTCATGTAACTATATTCGGACAACAAATGCATGTGGAGGGCTAAGCATATTATATCAAAGTGTGTATTCATTGACCGTGCTTCAATTCAGGAAAATATACAATATCGTGGATGATGATCCTGCACCACGGGAGGAAGTATTTGAGCTTGCGCATAAGTTGGTTGACGAAAAGTTTCCGGGTCGCATAAACCTTCATATATCTCTCGAAAGAGAAAAGTCACTTGTTATGGATAATAAGATATCTGGTAAAGGAGAGAAGAGAGTTTCAAATGCTCGAATGAAAAACGAACTGGGAATGAAGCTGATTCATCCTACCTACACGTCTGGATTGCAGAGCATTATTAAGCAGATTGACTGACAGTGAATTTCTGCCCAATTATTCATGATTTGGGCAGAGTGAATGTAAAGAAGAAAAATGGTCATGAAATTGTGTTTAGGAAGTTGCCCTTTCAACCCAAAATGGCTGATCTAGCCTTTATAAGTGTAATCATTGTATTATCTGAGGATATTATCCAAAATCAATAATAAGGCGAATGAATGACTTTATTTCTTAATTCCACTTGTTAATTTTACACGATTGTGTCATCAGAATTTTTCCTAAAAGATACTTCATGAAAATTATACTAAGAGGGTATATCTCTATTCTCTCGCTTCCTTTTGAGTTTTATAAGACTTTATTAGCACAAATCTCTACCCTCTGCAACTCGATTGATTAGTATGCTCTGCAGTTGTGTTTTATCATATAGACATTGTTTGTATGAAAAATTTAATTATTAAGAATAGCTATTTTCTTGTGATCCTTACAAAAAAACTAACTACTCTTTCCTTCTCCATTCTTTTTCTACCACTTTCTTTTGCATAATAATCTGCCTAAACCAAAAACGGGAGCATGGATACAAATATATTGCTCAAAATGAATCTCTTTTTTTTTTAACTATGATTAATTTTGAAAAAGCCGACATAATTAGTTGTTAGTAAAATTTTGAATTTATATTAAAATAATATTTAAAATTAAATAAGTAAAATTGATTTGATGTAAAAAGATTAGAGAAATTATGTGAAGTAATAGGTAGGTAGTTAAAACGATGTGAATGAATGAATAGTGAAGAAAAGTTGATATGATGGATAAGGATGATAGATTGATATTTTTTTATTACATTGATAATGTTGAAGATAGTCGAGTTGAGTTAGATTTTGAGTATGAAATGAAATAATTTATAAAAAAACACACCATGATCAAATGTATGTACATCACAGTAATGCGTACCCAGCAAACTCCAACACTATTCAGTATCATAATAACATCAAATTTTGATTGGGGTTACCAAACAATTACCAAAATCTTCTTACAACACAGGGATTGATCGAAAGGCCACGCCAGAATATTGTTAGATGCTGTTAGTCTTAACTTCCCTTTTTCCAGTGGTGAAGGATTCTAAACACAAAACTTCCGAATTCAAGACCTGATTTCAACTTACAAAAAAATGCGGATTGCGGCCAGACTAACAGCAGAAATGGAGACGAGTGTACCAATGCAATACTTGATGACTTCGTATTTTGCTGCTTCTAATTGTGCCCGCAACTCATGAATTTCCTGAGATCATAAAAGGGAAAACACCATCAGTCAATACACTAATTTAACTGGTTACCAAATAAATTTCAGCAGATATGTGTCCCTCACCCGGTTAAGTTTGTTTGTGAGGTTAGTTGTCTCCTGATTTTGTTCGTTCAGTTCATCCCGGATTCTCCTGAATAATTTTGACATATGAATTAAGAATAAAACTAATGAATGTAATGATTCGGTAAAAGGCACTGGTTTTGCATCAAAACTCTTGATAGTAGAAAAGCAACTGACCCCTTTTCAAGATTAAGATCCAAACGCTGCCCAGCTGTGGCACGATCAATTTCATACCTGAACCAAAATCGTGTACCCCTTAATAAGAGTTCCAACAAAATGGTACCAAGCCATGCGGTTTACATAATTACGAACCTTAACTCACTGCGCGTCTTCTCTAAATCGTTTTTGAGTTTTTCCATCTCGTGTTGCAGCAAAGAAAAATGGTGGTCCTGCGTTTGAGATCACATGAAATACGCATGACTTTTGCAGAGCACGAGTTGCTCCAAAATTTAATCTCTATTTACACGATGTAACTTGCTATGTCGCACATATGGTAAATACCTCCAGTAAGTACTTTGCAGAACAAAATTTGTTTGATTCTACCCTCACTATTAAATCCCCGTTCTCTTGATCTTGTAGTTTTATAATCACCAATTTATATTCACATTACCATAATCCAAAAAGAAGACAAAAACAATCCTTCGGCATAAACAAGTACACCAATAAATTATAATCATTAGTTGTGAGCAAAAACTATAAACTGCAGATAACAGGAAATGAAACAGAGGTAGTGACAGTATATTCGGAAGGTAAAATTTAATAATTTTGCATTATCTCAAGTAATACAATATAATAATACACATTTGCATATGTCCATGCAAGCATAAGCAATTTGCTTGCCAGCTCAGTTCCAAATTAGTGGATGTGTCCAAAAGAAGGCTCACAATACTGTTAAAACGGCAAAATGAAAGCAGAAGATACAACATCTTGGTTGCAAGCGACAAGAAAAGAAGGAATCTGATATCAAATATATATCCATGCAAATGGAACAAGGCAGAAAAGGAAAATATAATAAAAAAGTCCAGGGTATTTTAACTAGAGGGGTTCAGAACATCTGGGTGCTTGCTCTTTGCTTACTCAGAAGTCTTACAACATGTAGAAAACGCAGACAGGATCCACAAATGAGCCAGATAGATAGCAATGCAGACAGATACCAGAACAAACCTTAAATGATGCAAACAGACACGATACCTAGAGTCATGTTTTTGAACACAGATGTCATAAATCAAAAGTTATGCTTGACCATAATGGTACCTCTTATCATTTCCCTTAAACTCATTTCTCAACTAAGATATGCAACTCCAGATCTCACACTTTTTGAGAGTATTAAACAATTAGAGTGCAAAAACAGCATCCTAGCTTTACCTCAATCCAGAAATCAAGGTATTTGTAAATAAATCCTTCTAGAAGCAGTAGTCAATAATCAAGTGGTTCAATTGCCTTGTTGATTGGATAGTTCTAAAATGCAGGAATTTTTACACCTTCCCAGAGAGAGTCAAGTAATAGTTTGTGTATTTCAAATGCTGTGTGGTCTAAATTTTTTATTTTTGATCTTAATCACTCAACTTAAGTTTTAAAGGGTAATAATCTATTAGACTCGACTTAACACGCTATGTATCTAGAAAACTCAGATATTTGCCATGGTTAAAAAATCACACAAACAGACTTGGTGACTGAAATGAACATAAACAACAGATGCGGTGAGTGAAATTCAGATGCCAAAACATGGAGAATAAAAAAATATTCATAATTGCGTAACTCAACACATATCAGTTTCCTCAAATTGAAAATCACTCGAGGTTGGGTATTTCAAGATGTGCTCCCGGAATATATATTATAAAGCAACCCTGATTTTCTCTAAACCCCATGTCAAGTAAGACCAAACCCTAATTGAAGTATCATTTCATAAATCAATCTATTAACCCAACCGTTCAGACTACGCAACCATACTCATACAAGCACAATCTTTGCTACATATTTTCCGAGACACTCTACTCAAATAGTTTCCTGCAACGATATGAAATGCATGTTGATGTCGTAATAAATATCATTTGAATCATTGTGGCTGCACCTGAACATAATGGCCTCACAAAATGCACAACGCCATTGATATACACTCAGCACACCTAAACTGATATCTCTTTGAGTGTTTAAGCCCGATAACAAATCCCAAAACTACATCTCTCATTCAATGACTCAATCAACAATGTGACCTCAAGAATCATAAGAGATCAATGGTACTTTCTTCATAATTATCTAACCTTAATGCATGGCCCCATTTAAGACAAATAGCTATTTTAAGAATTTTCAGCCCAACAAATTCCAGCTCCCACTACAAAATAATCTAACCATCAAACGGCATATGCTCGAGCATAACCTATAACTACAGGAATATGACAGGATCAAAAAACAAATAGAATAGGAAGTTCATGAATTAAGAACATCGAGTCATTGCCTACCTGAGAACTCTTAACTTCCGTCTTGAATTTGGACAAATTGGATTCCTGTGTCATCTCATTCTACACGAAAGAAAAAACAAAATATAGAAAATCAGTATATTCTCATTCGACAAGGCATTCAACGTATCCAACTAGCTAATGTAATAATGTCCACACATTATAAAATAATTAAAACTTTACTTTCTGCATTTCGGTTTTGGATACAAATGAATGCGAAACATTTTCTAAGCTGTCGTTGAGAACTTCAATCAAAGCCCCGGTTATCCCCTCCGCCTGCTTCGACGGCACACCCTGCGCCTCCAATCTCCTCACCTGCAAAATGGTTAACAGAAACAAATGCCCCAAATTGAGCCACCTAGAAACGAATGAACACGAAAGGAGACGAAATCAGACAGAAAAAAACCCTTACGAGGGCCAGGGTGTCGACTAGGAAGAGGCGTTTGCCGTTGGATTTCACGAGATCGGAGTACGGTCTGGACCCGACCCGGCACGGAGCGAGCAAACGGGCCCCAGATAGCAAATTCCGTCGGCAACTCGCCGCATAAGCAGCGGCCATGTAGATGGTATTACCGTTCGATCAATCCTGTGAATACAACAGCGGATTTCCGGCAAAAATTCCGTCGACGCAGAGGAAAAATAAATCGATAATTTTTTTTTGCGGCGACTAGCTACGAATCAAAGAAACGACAGGCTGGATTATATTTCTTTTTAGCCGATTGGCTATTGAGATGAGAGGATGGTTAACGGAGTGGGCTCTATGGCTTAGCAGCAAAACTACCAATATAATAGTTTCTCCATCAATAATTCAATTCAATATAAAACCTGTAGTTGTAAATAAGGGTGAGCGTGGATCAGTACGGTTCGGAGATTGATAAACTGAAATCGTACCAAAGTTTGGATATCCCAAAAATGATCTCCGGAGCCGTACCAAAAAGTCGGTTCGGTTCAGTTCGGAGATTTTTATTTTTCGGTTCGGTTCGGTTCGGATATTTTTATTTTTCGGTTCGGTTCGGTATTCAGGGCTATTGGGACAGTTCGGTTCGGTTCGGTATGGTTTGGTTCGGATCTTCAGAAATTTCTTATTTTTTTAGATTTTTTTTTTGAATGACTACCTAGTTATATTTTAATTTTTATATGCTTTAAAAAACAACATTCATCAATAATTCATCATATTGAAGATTTTATTTTGAAATCAATTTTAGAAGTAACTCTAAATTTTAG